ACAGATACACTTGGGGAGAAGTGTTATTAAACACTCCTTTTCTCTTTTATAGGACATGTTCTGTGCATATCTATCTAGTCATTGCAGCACCTGAGCATCTGTCTCAAAACTCTCCCCAGTTTCCCTTCCTGATGATGACTTCTGCTTTGAGGCAGTGGAAGAAGATATCAGGACAGCTGTGGAAGACATATGAAGAAGGTACCTATTTTTAAAAGGCAAGAGTACGACAGTGGCTACGTAACCTGCCAGTGGGAGAGAAAAATCAGATGAGAGATTTCAATTCTATGGCTGATTCAGTGAAGCTCACAACAGGACACTTTCATGAGCTACTTTTCATCACAGCCTATTCTCACCCAACCTATCATCTCTTATAGACATGCTTGGGAGGAGCGCCCCATAAAAATCTGTACAACAACCTCATTATCCTCCATCAAACTCTCCTTTGCTCTCATGCCTACAAAAAATTTGACAACAGTGAAGTTGTTGGTAGGCTGACACTACTGCCTGTCTTGTTGACCAGTATTGTCTCTTTTGGTTCCTTGCACTCTGTTGTCTGTTGGTATCCATCTGTCATCTCCTGTCTTATATTCTGGAGGGTACAGACCATCTTTTTGTTCTGTGTTTGTACACTGCTTAGCACAATAGGGTCCTGGTCTGGGATTGGGGCTTCTAGGCACTACAATAATAAAAATAATACAGCCTGGCTTTCCCACAACCCGACTCTTGAATCACATGAAAGGCTGGGACTGTCTGAGGCCTGTAACTGGGTCAGGATACAACTGTGTTGTAACTGACTCCCCCCTTGTGATTCTACTTGTATATGGGCCCTTAATCTGCATGATTATTCATTCTTTGGCATCTCAGCTGAGTGTGACAACAGCAATAGCCATCAGGGCCAACTCTAGTTATCCGTTTATCCATAGCCATTTCCACAGTATATCAGCTGTGAGGTGCAGTTTTCTGATTTGGACATCTGTCCACTAGGAACTGTACTCAGATGATGAACTCATTTTATAAAATTACCAGAAACAGCCATCAGGTGGGAGTAACTTTTAGTCACTATCACCTTGTACCAGATTTGGACAGTGACCAATCACTTGGCCCAATAAAATGCATCTATCAAACTCCCTTTTAGAAACAAACAAAAGGACAGCAAACATTATGGCCTCATTCAAAGCTTCAATCAATACTGTATTTATGCACCCACAACAAGACCTATAGAAAGCTCAGTGTCTGCATAGACATCTACATGATGTCCAAGTTTACAAACAAGCAGCTCTCACTGTGACAGCGTAGCCAGATTTCAAAAAGACATGATGAGACCCAAATGTGCTGAGCAATTCTGAAAAGTTATTCATTTTGTGACCTAAATGGTAGCTGAGTTATTTTTAAACTGGAACCCCAGTGGTGGATGTTGAACCTTTCTGAAAATCCATCACAACATTCTCTCATACTATCTAGTAGTATTATTTCTGATGCTAGAATAGTATCACAAAGAAATAGCAACACAGCAGGCTCAGGAGGATAGAACAGGTAGAGCAGCAACTCAGGCATCTAATCCATGTCAACAGCAAAGTCATACTCTCCAGGAAAAGAAATGTAACTCAGCGGGTGATGCTAGGAAAAACATGTTTTGCAAACAGCACATGGTTGCCGCAGGTTATTGCAAAAATGAAACTGCTATGAGAAGAGACTTTTCACTTTTGCTGTATGTGTACCTAGCATTGACATGGTTAACCAAGAACATGGGGGTAGCCACTTGTGCAGCTCCAATTCTTTGTCACCACTTGTATCAGCAACACAGTGTGCAAGAGAACTTGTGAAATGGAATTTGTAGGAGTCTTTGGGTCAGGGGAAAGAGGCCAGTTTACATATGCCTCTCAGTGGAATAACAGCCTGCAGAGTGTAATTCTGCAGGGAGTAATTTATGAACGAGAATGGAGCTGAGAGGCTCAACGTGACTCAGGCATTTCAGGTCTGGAGTCCTCTCAGTGGTAGACAAGCCCTGCAGAAGTCTTTTGGGTGAGGGGGGAAAGATGTGTTTGATATGCTGAATGTGTGTTATATAGTTATTTTAAGAAACCAAAGCCCGTAAGAAAACAGAACTGAAAATCTGTGGCTGGAGAGTGTTCTTTTGTGCATGGCCAGAGAGTTAGCCCACTGGCTTATATGTTCATTTAAGGATCAGAGCCAATGTTTCCAACCAGGAGAAAAATAAGATTAAGTTAAAGGGAGATATGGGATGAGTGGACAAACAGAGGGAGAAAGAAGTCACAATGAGTTAAAATTCAGGGCCTTTTTTGGAGCTTGGCATAGAATTCTTCATTGGAAAAGAGACCCATAGATGTAAAATCCAGCTGGAAATCAACATGCAAGTTTCCTGCAGAGGAGGACATCCACAAGAACACACAGCATTGTTCAGCTAATCTACTGTAAATGCTCAGGAACATTTCAGAAGCTTGTGTTCAGTCTCACAGCATCCAGGACGGAGCCCTGGCTTCCCACATTACTATCGTTTTTCAGAGCACTAACAATCATAGCTGGCTACCAGTGCTATCAGTCAGTAAAATTAAACTTCTCAGCTTCCATTCCCATTAATATCTTGCTCCTGGGTATTCAGCCAAATATTTCCTCAAGTCCTAGATAACCATGAAGCATGAAATTAACTATCTGGAATAAAAATGGATTGAATCAGTTTTGTAAACTAAACCAAACTCTATGCTTAAGGTTCTAAAATAAGCCAGTAAGCTAGAGACAGAGAAAGAGGAGCAATCCTGCCATGGCCTCAGAGACATTATGCTGTGCAGTGCACTTTTGCTTAATTCATTTTACTTTGTATGTTTCAGTCTATTGTTTGCCTGCCATTTCCCTAACTCTACATAAAAAATGGTTTTTCTCCTTTAATCCCTAACATATTACATGTGTAAGGACTCTGTCTCTGGGGTGCTTGGGGAAGGGAGGAGACAATCATCCTTAGGAATTACAATTCTGGCACTTTTCTACAACAAGTGCAGCCCATGCTCTCCCTAGTGCTTGGGACAGTTCATAGGAGAGGGAAGGGGAATGCACAAATCTGGCTACACCTTTCTTCCACACTGTTGCCCAATCTGGAGCCAGACTGGCAACCCCACTGCCTGGCACTTGCATAGCTCCAGCACCCAATCACATCTACCTCTGTGTGGGTGAACTGGATGGAGCAGGGACATACTCAGAAGCTCCCTATTCCCTCTCCTCCACTCTAGTGTACCTGTACAGGATGGCTAGAATTTAGCTCTTCATTTTCTGTGAAAAGTGTGGGGCAATTCTCCTTTCAAAAAAAATTGGAGTTCACAGAGTAAATAAATGATACAGGTTTCTCACCTGAAAAGGCTCGATAATCAATTTACATGTTGTATGTAAAAACTCTCAGCAGTTCCTCAATATGCTTACGGAAGAGAGGTACTTCCTTTTAAACATGCCACTTGGATGAATGACATCACATCATTGTTTCAAATAGCAGCAGTTACATTATTAAGCTGCCAAAGGGATTTTTTTCATCAAATGTTAGAAGCATCTGTAAACTGACAAGCAACAGATGGGTGTATAGTTTATAGAATTGTTTGGCAGCACATAGGACACTTAGAAGGTTATTTTTCATGCCCTTTTGCTTAATTCATTTTATTTTGTATGTTTCAGTCTATTGTTTGCCTGCCATTTCCCTAACTTTACATAAAAAATGGTTTTTCTCCTTTAATCCCTAACATATTACATGTTCCATTAGTGCTGCCAACTCTTGTAATTTTACTGAGAGTTTTGTGATATTTGTTTTTTCCTTTAAAGTCCCTGATCCTGGAGTCATGTGAGAAGCTCACTTTTCAATTTTTTAAAAGTTCTTAGCCCTCCCAGTTGTAAGCAAAAGCTTGAACACATAAACTCTAAAGGCTCAAAATCCAGAGGCACATTTTTTTAATCTAAAAAATTTTTTAAAGCACTTTGGTCTGCCAGTATTGATTACTGCAGCATGTCACAGTATGAAATGAAAGGAATTAATCATGCCTGGCCTGATTTTGCTCAGTAAGTCGGAAGAGTATGCACTTCTTGCAGGATCAGGCCTCTAATATTTCCACTATTGTACTAGACAAATTCAAAGTGCTTTATATCTCCTATGTAATATTACTAAAACTTTATTGAAGCTAGAAAATCAAAACCCCATACTTCTTGTTTTTATCACCTCCCTTCCCAAAGCATTTCAATTTCTCAGAGGAATTGGAGAGAAGAGGTATCATAATTACTTGTTCCTCTTTTCTCAGACAACTTGGGTAGGAAGGCTTTGGAGTGGCTCTCTACAAAGCTATCACAGTAGGTATAAAAGGTAAGAGAAGGTAATAAATATATTCAAACTTTGAACCTTCTAGTTTAATAACTCAAAATCCTGCAGGACCAGCCATGTAGGATCCAAACACAATTAAAATAAAAGGTTATTTTCCTCTTAAATGTTTCAAAAAAGATCCCTGAGTAGGAAAAGATTAAATAATAACTGACAAAATCTTTAGCCCCAAAGTCAACCTGAACTTTTTTTGGTGAATTTACCTTTCCCGTTATTTTTTTCTCTACTGAATCTAAGAATTCCTAGTCCTGGCTGGGACCAGAAATTGGATGTGCCAAAATACCATAAGACAAGTTGGTTTTGTTTATCTGGCTCAACCAAAGGCAGCAAAGTACTGGAAATCTTACATGAAATCCAATTCTCAGATTTCCAGCCACATTTTGCTGTTCCAAAAGGTTTGCATAGTTCGGAGAAGGATACAAATTCTGGGGTGACTAGCTGAACTGACACACTCAACCTTCTGAGGTTCACTTCTTGCTAGAAAAGACTACCAGAATATTTTGGAAAGGCTATTAAATCAAACAACCCAGAAATAAAGAGATCCTGCATGCTGGTACTTTCCAGGGAACTCCAGTAAATGGTCTGTAATTCAAGAATAATTTTCACTGTCAATGAAATAGCAGTGTGCATTACCAAAGATGTTAGAAAATAAACACTTATGGAAGTTATGGGACAAATCCTGTGATCCTTACTCGGTGTTTACTCTTCCTTATTCCATCAAACTGCTACTGAATCAAAGGATGATTGAAGACATTATAAATAAACTGATTTCAGGATTTGGCCAAATATTATTTAGCATGTATATGTTGCCTTCCACAAAGCATCTTATAGACACTGTGTACAATTTTCAAAAGATTGTAAGGGTATGTCTACACTAGCCCCCTAGTTCGAACTAGGGAGGCTAATGTAGGCATTTGAAGTTGCAAATGAAGCCCAGGATTTAAATATCCCGGATTTTATTTGCATCTTCCTGTCCAGGCGCCATTTTTAAATCCCCCATGTCTGAACTAACTGCCTGCGGCTACACGCAACAGTCAAATGTTAACTCGAACTAAGTGGACTTAGTTCGAGTTAACGTTTGACTGCCGCGTGTAGCCGCGGGCAGTTAGTTCGGACTAGGGGGATTTAAAAATGGCGCCCGGACGGGAAGATGCAAATAAAGCCCAGAATATTTAAATCCCGGGCTTCATTTGCAACTTCGAATGCCTACATTAGTCTCCCTAGTTTGAACTAGGGGGCTAGTGTAGACATACTCTAAGTGACTTAGAAGCCTGAGGATACATCTAAACAGCAGTGTTATTTCATAGTCTGCATCTACACCACCAGCAGTTATTTTGACATAATGTCAAAATAATGCTGAGCTGGAGGACTTCTTACGCCGACTGCTGTAACCCTCATTCTACAAGGAGTAAAGGAAGTTGGAGGAAGAGTGCTCTAACTTGGACTTCCTGCTGTGTAGACAGTGCCAAAAGTTGAAATAAGCTATTTCGACTTAAGATACGCAATTGACATAGCTCAAATTGCGTAACTTATGTAGGCTTTAAGCCCTGCTGTGTAGACGTGCCCTACATTCAGTTTTCAAAGTGATTAGACCAGTGATGGGCAACTAAGACTACTGAGTGGGCTGCATGAGTGGCCATCCTTCATCTCAGTGCGCTGCATGACCAGTTATGGGCAACTTGCAGTCTGCAGCCCACTGGGATTCCATCTGCGGCCCATGTATTGCCTCTCTGCCCCCATCCCTCACATGCCTCTTTTGCACTGGGGCACTGGAGCCTGCACTTCCTACTCCTCTCCCTCCCTCCCAGCACTTTCAGAGCACCACGAATCTGCTGATTCATGCTCTGTCCCTGCACCCCCCCCTCCCTTACAGAGCTTGAACAGCTGGGAACAGTTGATTTGTGGCATTCCAGCTCTGGGAGAGAGGGGCGGGAGTACAGGCTGGAGGAGCAGAGGGCACAGACAAGCAGCACTTCGAAGGTGAAATTGTCGCTTCTTTCCAGCCACCAGCTGCGCGACTCTTCCTCGGCCCTCTGGTCCATGCTCACCACCACCGGGTGAGCAGGGGCTGAGTGCATCCCACATGTGGGAGATAGGAGCTTTGCTCGGTTTGCTAGAGCCCATACGAAACACTCAGCTGCATAGGGCACCATGAAATTTTGGGAATCTTGGTGCCCCAGATGTTGTAGTGTACCACGCAGCAGCATGTTTTGCATATTGGCAGGGAAAGCCATGAGGGACATTAATTTGAGGACTTGTTTGAACCTCCACTTGGACGTACTCGTGCTTCCTTAGAAAGGTTTTAGACTTTTTTATGACTTGACCAAAAGGCAAAGCCAAGAATCCCTTGAGGGAGAGTTAAACAGTGGCAGGTTTGAGGAAAAAGCCTTGTACAGTGTTCCAGAGACAAAGACGCTGTGCAATGCCGTGACCAGCAATGAAGGGGTACTCATGCGGTGAGGATGCACTATTCCACTGAATGTTATTATCCCAATTTCTCAGGAGAATCTGAAATAGAGACTTGCCTAAAGCCAGAAATGGAGTCAGCACTTGTGTTAGAGATTAGAAATCAGACCCTCTTGGCTCCCACCTCTGTGCTCAGACCACTCTCCCTTTTATGATTCAAAGGTTTGTGAAGGATTTGTTTGTTTACCTTTATCTTCTTTTTTTCCTTCCGCAGCTGGTGCTTTGGCTAATACGGAGCCATTGTTTTCTGTGGTCTTTATTACATTTTCTTCCTGTATGGTTTCTTCACTGATAGTTATGGTGTGCCCATTTGAGGTTTCAAAATTTACTGTTACATCACCATCTAAAATGAAGATGAAAAAACTGTTATTCAATTTTACAGCTTGCTCAAAAGCTAGCTCTCCATTTGTTGTCAACTCAGTAATTTTTCAGGTTTTAAGTTTCCACGAAAGAAAATTACAATTTCACATTCATTTATTTTATGTATAAAACATTCTGATTAAGTTGTAGTCTAAGGGTATGTCTACACTACAGAGAAGATCGAAACTGCTGCTGTCGATCTTCCAGGGTTCAAATTAGCGGGTCTAGTTAAGACAGCTAATTTCAACTCATAGACTTTAAGGTCAGAAGGGACCATATGATCATCTAGTCTGACCCCCTGCACAATGCAGGCCACAGAATCTCACCCACCCCCTCCTAGAATAATCCTCTCACCTATATCTTAGATATTGAAGCCTTCAAATACTTTGAAGACCCCAAAATGCAGAGAATCCTCCAGCTGTGATTTGTACCCCCATGCTACAGAAGAAGGCGAAAAACCTCCAGGGCCCTCTGAGAAGGGCACTCTGGTTGATGCCGGTAGTCCTGCTTCCATGAGGAGTAAGGGTATGTCTACACTACCCCGCTAGTTCGAACTAGCGGTGGTAATGTAGTCATCCGCAGTTGCAAATGAAGCCCGGGATTTGAATTTCCCGGGCTTCATTTGCATGTATGTCTACACTAGCCCGCGGCTACATGCAGCACGGACTAGCTAGTTCGGATTAGGCTTCTAGTTCAGATTAGGTGTACAGCTAGTTCGGATTAGAAGTCTAATCCGAACTAGCTAGTCCGTGCTGCATGTAGCCGCGGGCTAGTGTAGACATACCCTAAGGGAAGTCAAAGGAAGAGTGTTTTCCCTTCGATTTTCTGCAGTGAAGACAGTGCCAAAGTCGACTTAAGGTATTTCAACTTCAGCCATGCAATTAACTTAGCTGAAATTGTGTATCTTAATTCAACCTTGTCCCATAGCATAGACATACTATTACAGAGTTACTTAGGGTATGTTATAAAGCTCCCTGTTCAATGAGTTTGCAACTTCCAGATCGCGTAACAAGTAACATGGATTACCATTCAACTTCCAGCCCTTCAAACTGAACAAGTCATGCATCATACAAGTAATAAAGATTATGCAGCCCAAATTTTGCCCCAGCTTTTACAACAGATTATATTTACTTATTCATATTTAACTATGGTCTCCTCAATCCACTTATGACACTTCCCTTAATGAACACCCGCTCTCTCCACTGCATCTTGCTCCTCACTCTTTGCCTCCAAATATTTGGAGGATGTTATCTACTTATATTAGCTCAATGCCCTTTTTTCTCCAATTCTGTCCTTGACTAACTACAATCTGATTTCCATTTCTCCACTTCACTGTGCTTAATAAGATCAGTAATGTTCTTCCAGGTCATTCTCTATTACTTTTTTTTCCCTCAGGTGTCTGCTGCCTTTCTCCTCCAACTGAATTCTCTCTCCCTGCTAAAACTCTATTACTCTATTTCAGATCTCTTCTTTTCCAGTAGGCTGTTCACGTATTGCCTTTACTTGTCCTCTTTGGCCTCACCACTTCTCCCCTCACTCTTCTTTAATCCATACAAAATGCTGCCACCAAAATTATTTCCCTCACTTACTGCTGCTATCATGCTGTTTTCCTTCATCTTCTACATCTGGTCCAGATTTCTTACCATCAAGACCTTGCAATGCCTTTAACCTGTCTACATCTCTGTGTTCATCCCTTCCTCCTCCCCATCCTGCTTAACAATTCCCTTTCTTCCAACTTTCACTCTCTTCCTGTCTTTGTGTGCCTTCTTTCTCAGAGCATCAGGCTTTAACCTCATCTTCTTTTCAATGGTTCTTTAAAACCTATGTGTTTATTACATGGAAAGCCTGCCTTAAACAGAAAAACATTATTTCTCCTTCCTACCATTTTTTTTCTTTGTACTGACCAAACCTGAATGAGAATTTAATGTGTATTGCAACAGAATATCAAGTACTTGGGGAGAGGGGGGAGAATAGACAGGGGAGGTTAAAGACATAACTGCCTATGTATGACCATTTTAGCTCATTTATTTTAAATCTGGTTCTAATCAAAGATAGAGATTAAAACATTACTTTAACTGCCCTTTCCCACCAAAATACAATTTACAAACACCAATCAACAGATAGCACCACAAAAGAAATATATTTAAAACAAAAAACAGTTTGACAGATAAGTAAACTGATGCTCAGAGCAGTGAAGTTCCTGGCCTTAAGCCACAGAACAAGATGGTGGCAAAGACGAGTTTAAAACCCAGCTGTTCTGAGTGTCATGATCTGATACACAAATGCTGAAATGGTGTTAGAGACATGCCCCAGCACTAGCAATTGTAAAAATAACCCCGTTTTAAATATTGATGTATATGAAGCTGCAGGGAGTATAAATATTACCCTATTCCTGACTTCACACCTAACATTCACTATACTGATTTTTCAGATCAGTCAGAGAAAAACATTTTTAGTGGAATAATTCTGTTCATAGAAATATTATCAGAAACAGTCCTCTAAAACTTTTATATTCCACTTCGGTTTTCAGTCAGTTCCTTGTTCTGTTATCCTGACAAAATCTTTTTAGTCTTCATGATTCATTTTAGGAGATGGGAAAAGCATTGCAGATACTAAAATTGTATTAGACTCAGATTTTATTACATCTAGATTTGTATTTATTAAATGAAGAACAGTACAAAACACCACCATTGTGAACAGCAAAACCACAGCTTTTTAAAGACAGATGTGCACACTGCTGAAAAACTTCAGGTATAATTGGACTTAAGTACTTTACACATGCTTTATATAATACATCTTGCTGTGTTTACCATTTACTAAATCTGGTTTTGTTTTTAAACCACAAGAATTTTCCTCAAAGTTCATTATGCTTCTGCTATTGGAGTGTAGCGTGTGAGAGATCCTACACCTGCTACCGCTCAATATTTGAAATGTCAGCTGTTGAGTTGCTTGCTTTGGTTTACACTTGTGGCGCACTCAGAGCATTTCTACTCTGCAATTAGACACATGTGTCTGGCCTGTGTCAGCTGATTTTGGGGCTGGCAGGGCTCAGGCTAAGAGGCTGTTTAATTGCCCTGTAGACATTTGGACTTGGGCAGAAGTCTGAGCTGTGGGACCCTCCTACCTCAAAGAGTCTCAGAACCCCTGCTCTAGCCTGAGCCCTAATTCTTATACCACCATTAAACAACTTCTTAAGCTTAGTCAGCTAACGTGGGCCAGCCATGAGTTTTTAACTGCAGTGCAGACATACCTCAACTGGTAAGTGGCAGGGCCCCAATGCCTTTAGTTTTCTCATTGATAATCACCACGTCATCTTTCATATGTTGGGAAGAATAGCTTAACTCAAAATATCCTATGAGTCACCGATTCCAAAAAATACCAATAAATACTTAGCACTTTTCATCTGCAGAGCTAAATCTGCTTTGCAAAAGTACTAAGCATTATCCCAGTTTTATAGATAACAAGGGGGTGGTGCCCCCTGCTCGCTATTCTTGCCAACACCCCAGTCTCTGGGAGTAGGCAGCCCTAGCATCCCCCTGACCACCAGGCAGCCCTGGCCACCCCCCTCTCCCTCTCTGGCCATGGGCAAAGGCTGTGCCAGCCCCAGCTCTCCCTCCCCCCATCTTGCAATCTGTACTTCAATTTGATCCCCCTACCTCCATTCCTGCATTCACCATCCTTCCTACCCCTGGCCCACCCCACTCTTCCTATCCTGACCCCGCCTCCTTTCTCCATTCTTGCACCCCATCCTTCCCTGACCCCTCTCCACCCCCACGTCTCCATTCCAATATCCCCCTCAATCCCACCATCCCTCCTTACTGCACTGCCCATCCCCACATACACCCTATCCCCCTTCCTCCCTCCCTACACACACCCTGCCCCCTCCCATGAATTCATTGAGTTGCGTGACCCTCCCCGCAGGAGCACCATTGGGCCGGGCAGCAAAGCCCACCCCCAGCCCAGCCTTTCCACACAGGCCTGTTGAGGCAGCTTTGCCCTGTGGTGAGCCCACGGAATCCAGAGCATAGAGCAGCTGCTCCAGAGAGCTGGGGAAGCTGCCGGGGTGCAGGACCTGTCCCGCTCGCGGTGGGCCCAGGAGAGTGCAGCCACCAAGCACAGTGGCCAAGCCAGGCTCCATAGCACCAAGCCACACAGCAGGTGTGTAGGCTGGGAAGGCTGGGGCTGGGAACCAGAGGCAGGCAGATGCTGGTCCACAGGGTGTGCTGGGATGGAGCCACCGCCCCCACCCACATTTCTCGGCGTGGCCACATAGTCAGGGTTCCTGGGGATGCAGAATGATGTGATGAGGTCACTATGTCATCCCGCAGGAAAAGTTCTTTTTATCTCTATAGATATAAAGAAAGGTTAAATACCTAAACTTTAGTAAGGCATTTGATACGGTCTCGCATGATATTCTTATTGATAAACTAGGCAAATATAACTTAGATAGGGCCACGATAAGGTGGGTGCATAATTGGCTGGATAACCGTAGTCAGAGAGTTGTTGTTAACGGTTCTAAATCCTGCTGGAAAGGGATAACAAGTGGAGTTCCTCAAGGGTCTGTTTTGGGACCCGTACTGTTCAATATCTTCATCAATGATGTAGATATTGGGATAGAGAGTACTCTTATTAAGTTTGCAGATGATACCAAACTGGGTGGGGTTGCGACTTCTTTGGAGGATAGGGACATAATTCAAAATGACCTTAGCAAGTTAGAGAAATGGTCAGAGGTAAACAGGATGAGGTTTAATAAAGAGAAATGCAAAGTGCTCCACTTAGGAAGGAACAATCAGTTCCATACATACAAGATGGGAAGCGACTGTCTAGGAAGGAGCATGGCGGAAAGGGATCTAGGGGTCATAGTGGACCACAAGTTGAATATGAGTCAACAGTGTGATGCTGTTGCAAAAAAAGCAAATATGATTCTAGGTTGGATCAACAGGTGTGTTGTAAGCAAAACTCGTGAAGTCATTCTGCCGCTCTACTCTGCACTAGTTAGGCCTCAGCTGGAGTACTGTGTCCAGTTCTGGGCGCCACATTTCAAGAAAGATGTGGAGAAATTGGAAAGGGTACAGAGAAGAGCGACAAGAATGATTAAAGGTCTAGAGAACATGACCTATGAAGCCAGGCTTCATGAACTGGGCTTGTTTAGTTTGGAAAAAAGAAGATTAAGGGGGGACATGATAGCGGTTTTCAAATATCTAAAAGGGTGTCAGAAGGAGGAAGGAGAAAATTTGTTCCTCTTGGTTTCTGAGGACAGGACAAGGAGTAATGGGCTTAAAGTGCAGCAGGGGAGGTTTAGATTGGACATTAGGAAAAAATTCCTAACTGTCAGGGTGGTCAAATATTGGAATAAATTGCCAAGGGAGGTGGTGGAATCTCCCTCTCTGGAGATATTTAAGAACAGGTTAGATAGACATCTGTCAGGGATGGTGTAGATGGAGCTTGATCCTGCCTTGAGGGCGGGGGGCTGGACTCGATGACCTCTCGAGGTCCCTTCCAGTCCTATTATTCTATGATTCTATGAACTTGTCTAAGAACACACAGCAAATCAACAGCAAAACCAGGAACAAATTGCAGGTCTCCAGACTCCAGGTCTGATGCCCTAGCCATCTGGTCAAACTGCCTCTTCCACTTGCTGCCAGTGTTTTACCAAATCTGCCTTTTTTTAAGCTAGCTAGCTGATATTCCTATGTTTTGGAACAACGTGATAATAATAATAATAATGTCATGCCTAAAAGTTTATTATCTATATTCTAGGTTAGTTGTCATCACCTTGCTCAGGCATTTCCTTCAGAACTCCCTTCCGTATCAACTCCTCTCTGCTTTGTCTTGTTGAAATCTTCCTTTCCAACACTTAGAAAAAGAGAAAGCACAGGTAAGAATACATCCATTCTGATGCTGAATGTAAAATAAATAAATAATAATAATAAAAAACCCAACACTTTGCACACTCCTTGATTTTGCTGAAAGTGAGGGTTATGTTTTCAGATCTCACATTCTAGAAATATTCTTTATTAGTCAGACAGTAGCCAATATCCTCAGCAATAATGCTGCTTAGCATAACATGAGTGGTGCCCGAACTGAATGGGGAAAACAACTTTAAAATAAATGAATATGACATGTTTTAAACAGGAAGAAAACAATAATTTGGGCTTCCTGTCACAACAAAAAATGCAGAGTCATGTTTTAGGTTGGGAAAAATATCATGATACACATTTTAATTACGTGTATTAGTCATTAAAAATAAATAGCTTTGTAATAATATAAAAACATATAAAGATAGCAACATGCCCACAAACAAAACACCCTGCCCAAATAGAGTGTAGAACAGGGCTACTCAACTTTGGAAGCCCCAGGGCCACAATGATACAACTCATGCCGAGGGCCGCAACTTAAATATAGTTACATATACATGCAAACATATACACAAATATATGCAAATAGCTTCTTTCACACTGACGGGCATGAAATCAAAGATTAAGCCAAGACTACACAACACGCAGACCCCATTTAAGTGAGTTCTGCTAATATTAATAAAATGCAATATTTACCCGATTTCCAGCCATATGACAGCACTTTTCATGAACAATGACAGTCCAGGAATATAACCACTAAAACACATATAAATAGATGACCATTCTATTGACTACTTTTTTGTTTTGGCTCTCACCTGCAGGCCACGTGTTGAGCCCCACATAAAATCCAAACTGCACTGCGGGCTGCAAACAAATGGGCTGTGGGCTGCATGTGGTCTGCGTGTTGAGTAGCCCTGGTGTAGGATAAAAACTGATGGAGCTATCTTGGTTAGCAGCAGACAGCGTAGTGTGAAAAAGACCATGAGTGAAATTTAGCGCTTAACTTATAAGCTTAAATTTCATTTTTAAACATGCCAGGCACTTATGGTCAGATTTTCAAAGGTATTTAAATGCCTAAAGAAGCAGATAGCATCTGCTAGAATTTTCAAAAGCACCTAGGTACCTGCTAAGATTGAAATTAATGACTTAGGTGCCTGGGCACTTTTGAAAAACCCATTTTAGATACCTACCTGCATATTTAGGTGCCCAAATACCTTTGAAAAATCTGATCCTTAGGAGCCTAGATCTTACTGAAATTCTATAGGACTTAGGCTCCTACATGCCTAAGTCACTTTAGAAAATAGGACTTAAGTTCTTTTAGAATTCACAAAAATCATGGCAGTGACTAGCCAATGCCCAGTTCTTGCAAAGAGATGTATGTTGGTGGACACTTATGCCTCTGCAGAGTACCATGAAAGTCAATGGGACATGACAAAGAAGCAAAAGTCCTCCTGCCCATACTGTAGAAGGATTGGGATCTTAATAATAATAGTAAGAAGGTTTATTTATGATGACAGTACTACACTGAATGTATCATTGTACTCCAGTATCCTGGAAAATCCCCGCAGTGTAGATGTACCATTAGTTCTTACCATTTATGCTTACTGCTTCATTTTTGCATTATACCTGTCAATATCAATATCATTATCTGTTGATAGGCCTTATCCAATCTCCTTTGAACTCAACATCATTCTTTCCTTGGACTTCAATAGGCACTGGATTTGATCTATAAACTGGTTTTACTCATAATTATGTTTTTCCAATGCTACTGAGTAACATGGTAATTAATATTTTTAACTGAAAAATAAAAGGAACCAATAAACACTTCATTTCATATTAGGATGCAACTCTTTATATTTTCAAATCATTGTGTTACCATTATGTAAGTTTCGTCACACCCTTTAGATATAATTATCCCCATTTTATGGACTAGGAAGTTCACACAGAAAAAGTGTTAGGTCTTGATCCTTCATTATTCCTAGTATTAGCTGATATAATGTAATTTCTTTAAAGTAATTTTAAAAGCACTGTTACCTCAGCATGATAATTTTTTCAATGTATTTGATTCTTGAAAAGCATATTAGAAATCATGTTAATATTTTGTTCCTATGGACAAAAAAGGTTGCACACAAATATATCAGGCCAGCATTCTGTACTCTTGTGTAAGAGGTATATTGTGTCTACCTAAGATACCTTAATGTGTTGAGATGCCAACCTCTATTAAGGTCAAATCTTAATAATAATTTACGGAATATTATAGATATGAGATTGTATGTTACATTACATTTCACAATGCAATATTTTCAAAAAGTAAATGCACTTATACTTAACACAATAATTACATTTTAAAAAACGGTGTTAGAAATGACAGAACTAAGCTTGTTTGTGTCTTAATGTAGCCCTCTTTTGCATATGCATTAAGACAAAGTCTTTAATTACACAATCACATACTATGTTTTCCATAGGATCTCTACCTCATTTGCTGCACAGGATGGATAATGCTTGCTGAACACTGATGGTCATGCTTTCTTTTTCTTCTAATCCCTACTATTCAGTGTGTGGTCCCCCAGGCCTTGTTTACACCACACCATTCAAACACTACTCTGATAAGTATAAATTTCCTCATGGGCATTTTTATGGTGATCTCACCACAGAATCTGAGCACTTCAGAAATGTAAATGAAGTAACCTGCACAACACTCCAGTGAGATAGGTTGACATTATAATCCCCCTCTGTAAAATGAGGGAGAAGAAGGCCAAAACTGTCACAAGACTCCACTGATTTTGAGAGATACTTTTGAATGTAACTTCCTAAGTTTAAATATGCAAAGTGAAAAAAACGAGAAGTTCTGTCATCTGGGACCATATTGACAACCACATAGGTCATCAGTAGAGTCAGAACCTTTAGATTCCTTGCATAGACTTCTGCCATTTGGGTTAAGGGAGTACTGACAGAGGTATCAGACTGATGTCTATGTGGCCCAATCTCCAGTCTAGAGACAGGATGGGATGCATTTTCCCACTGGGTTTCGCTATTTGCTGGTAGCAAACAAATGTCATGACAAAAAATCTCCTAGGTTCAGGTCCAGACTGTAGAAGGGGAGCATGGTCTAATGATTACAAAGCATTTTGACCTCTCTCTAGCGCCTGTCTCTGTGCCCCAGCTCCTACCCTATCTCCTATCCTAGCTTTTGGCTCTGTCCCTGCCCTTTGCATGTACCACCACCCTAGTCCTGTCCTGTCCCCTCTTCTATTCAACTAGCTCCTATTCCCCTCTACCTTTCCCCTCTCCCCCTCTATTCCCATCCACCTGCTTCAGTCTTTCCATTCCGGGTCCCTGCCCCTGTATGCCCTGCTTCTATCTTCCCTTATGCAATTTTCCTCCCCTCACATGCTCCTGCTCCCTACTCCTCCTGCTGCCAGACTCCCAACTGCTGGGTCTCTCTGGTCCAGGAAGATCCATGATCCTGCCAGACCAAAGATGTTGTCGGACCAGAGAGTCCCAGTTTAGAAAGGACTGACCTGTGTAACTAAATCAGTACAGTTTGCTTGTCTAACTGACCTTGTTGATAATGTTCATGTAAGTCTAATGAGAACTGCCTTAGATGTCAGATTTTTCTAGTTGCCTTTTACATGATGTCATCATGATCCTTGTGATTTTACAGAAATGCAAACTCAGTTTGGAGCTCTAGTAAACCAGACAGCATTGTTCCTAATACCCGTGTTATGAAGTGCAACCAATACTGTAAGCACAATGTGCTTGCTTGCTAAAAAATGCTAATGTGATACAAAAAAACTCAGTTCCAAGAGACCCTTCTCCAATAAGCTCAAAAATCGTAGAGTGAAATTCTGGCCATGCTGAAGTCAGTGGTTAAACTCCTACTGACTTCAAAGAGGCCTGAGCTTCATCCTTAGATCAGAAAGGTTGGGTTGATGATTACTTGGTCTGTTCATTCCCTCTGGGGCACCTGGGCTTGGCCACTGGTGGAAGACAAGATAGTAGGCTACATGGACCATTTGTGTGAATATAGCATATTTTGTGTAAGTCTAATCCTGCACCCCCATTCACCCCAATAAACCCTATTTGTGCAAGGGATTCCACTGACTATTGTATTTTTTGTATTATCCCAATTCAACATAGGACTTACTTTTCATGGAAAGGTGAAGAATCAACTCTATTTATTGTAGAAAGCACGCTTCGTGCCATTCAATAACCATAAGCCTCAAGAACTTTTACTTTGTTTTGGTCTTTCCGAGATGAGCCCAGCTGATTCTGATTTAGTTTTGAGTTTTTCTCTAGGCTTAATCCTGATCTAATCAAGCTAAAAATGGTTTCTGGCCCCAATTCCGTATACTCTTACCATGGGGCTTTGAAGTGGCAGTTGCCTCATGCCAAGATATAAACTGCTGCCTTCTTTTCCTTTACAACAAATAGAAACAGAGGGAAAGCTTGAGTTGATGCCATTCACTGTTTGTTTTTACGTTATTTTAAAAGCTCTTTATACAGAAAGTGCACAACTGGGTTCACAGTGAATGGATTTTTATGACACACACCATGGAAAATATGTTGCTAAAGGGAAAAATTCCAACCATCATTCCCACATCAGTACAAATATTTCCATATCTACTCCATCTTAAAATATTTGTGCCATATGTTATGTAGATTTTTCAGCTCTTAACACAATGCAATTACATGAAAAAAAAAAAAAAAAAAAGCTGTATGGTACAGCCTGGTCAAACTCTAACAAGGCCTTATTTCAAAAGGTCTGATCCAAAGCCCAGTGAAGTCAGATGAAAGACTCTCTGGCATGTTTTCTTAGTGACAAAAAAGGTCACATACTTACCAGGATACTCTATTTGTTAGGCCTTTAAGGGTGTGTCTCCACAACAAAGTTATTTTGGAATAACAGCTGATCTTTCGAAATAACCATCCAAGCGTCTACACAGCAATTCCGTCATTTTGAAATAATTTTGAAATAACGGACAGCTTATTCCAACTTCTGTAAACTGTATTCTACAAAGAATAATGCCTATTCCAAAATAGCTATTTCGAAATAAGGCGTGTGTAGGTGCTCTCCTTCTGCTATTTCGAAGTAGCCCCTAAGTTATGCCTCCTGGAGCTCTAAATCGAGTTAGCATGTCTACATTAGGGAAGCCTCGGACTAATTTTAAGGCTTACCTGCAGTTTAGACGTGCTATTTCAAAATAAGCTATTTCAGAATAGCTATTCTGGAATAGCTTATTCCGAAATAGCTGTGAAGTGTAGACGTAGCCTAAGAGAACAAGCTAAAAACAGGACTGCTAACAATCTTAGGCCAGGTACTATCTTCACAATTGTAAAATACGTCTACCTCGTCTCTGTCCAAAACACAGGTAAAATCTCCCCTCCCAGCTGTTTGGGGAAGAGACCCTTCTGCCCTGATCCTGTGATGTGCCTGGTCCTTTTCCATCATAGACCAAAGGTAATGTCTTTCAGCTTCATTAATTAGTGAGGCAACAAGAGCCACCTGCTAAGCAAATGCCACTTTTTCTGCTTGTCCTGGGAATTTTCCTTCAATAGGCATAAGGATGAATTTTGTATCTCTGGGAAGCAGCTTGTGATGGGATTCATTCAGGCCACATGGAGTTTTACTTCAAACCCCACCTTTGTTGAAAAGTACTATGGAATTTAACATAATGCTATAAAAATGGTTCAACATATTTGAAGAATTTAAAATGCATTCCTATAGATCTTTTGTCTGAGTACATCTCAACAATGGACTCCATATCAGATAAGGATATTTCTTTACTGCAGAGTTATCTTCGGTGATTGGTCCGGGGGCCTGAGCACTGGATCTTATTTTGTATGCAAATGTTGGGAGAATAACAGCATCATTTTCTCCTTCATTCAATTCAACTCGTTTCTTGATATGTTTTGTGTTATGAAAATATATTTTCAGACAGTAGCACATCTAGAAGATTGTATAATATATATTTAAAGATGTACTCTATTTGATAATTTAGTGCTGCATTCTGCACCCCTTACTCAGAAAATCTGTAACAAAATCTAATGAGAGTTTGCTTGAATATAGTCAATAAGATAAGGCCATTAGGTGATCTATATTTGCCACCTTATATTTATAGACTTATTGACATTCTATTCATATTATAAACTATTTTATTCATGTAGAATGAGGTAGTGTATTTCCGTTAGACTTTCTTACTTAAAATTAAATATTTCAGGGCAGATTTTCCAAAGTTCATAAATACCATTTTTTCGTGAATCTTAACTTAACAACACACAAGGAACAGTGCTGTACACATGCAGTATTGCAAAACCCAAGCATTCGAAAATCATGAGTCAGATTCCGAAAATCATGGAGTGTATTAAATACATTTTTTTTGAATGGCACTTTTTACTTTATTGAGCCTTTCAGATTCATTTTTTCAAGCTTTTCTCAGCAACTTAAAAAAAACTAGTAACTTAAAAAAAAATTGAAAGTGAAAGTTAAGATTATCAGATAATAACATGACACCAGGTGCTTGGGCTTAGCAACTTTAAATATTGTGAAAATTGGAAACAATGCACGTGATCCCTAATTTGTGCAGTTGTTCTTTACAAATAAATATACACATTTATGTACTAATAAAAAAAATCTGTCATAGCTGTGCAAGTCCCTTCAAGTAAATAGAATTTCATAGTCATAACATCAATGTAATAGAGTGGAGAAGAATCAGGCCATTAGTCTTTAATTAGGATAGAATATATATGTACTTGCTAGGAAAAATAAAAACAATTAGCCAGTCTACTAAGTATTTAATCAAATTTTACAAGTTGTTTAAAATATGAAGTCTATTCTCTACAATAAGAGAGTTTTTTCCTCTGTTGAATATGAGAGGCACTGAAATATTATAAGCTGTATAACTAAACACCATAGAAAAACCTTAGCTTTTAGAATTATTTTGGGTAAACATTCAGCTGAAAAATGGCCTGAATGCTGTACACTAGCATGAATTGCATATTGTAAGGGCTTGTAGTAGGAAGTCTTAGCCAAGTACCAAATCAAGATAAAAAAGTAAGTGTTAACTCTTGACCCATTTCTTAAAAATTCTATGTACCTTAAAGTCCTTTTGGAAGTGGAGGAAATTTAATACAGGAGATGCTTACTGAGATGCACTATTTGGTTGTGGCTAATAAAGTCAAGTATAGAAATGCCAACATTGTCATGGAGGGAAAGGGATTTATATTCATGTAGGTACCAGAACCTAACTTCCTTCAGTATCAACCTATGTCTGTCATTCCCTGCTAGAGGGATCTTTGCATTAGCATTGCCTTGTTCATGTCTTTAATTTCCACAGCTCATTAGAAGGCATAAAAAGTTTATAAAATGGGTTTCATGATAACAATGATCCAGTTGACAAAGCTCTCCAAAAAGAGCTCTCATATCCATGTAATTATCTGCTAACATACAGTATATCCACAGTTTATACTCCTTCATTATCAACCACATTGTATCACTGCCACTTTTTCAATGTAAAATCTCATAACCTGTATGTGTGAGTTCTTCACACAGAATAGAGTTCTGTACTGTAAAAGTTAAAAAATTGAAATCATGAAGAGTCAAAAAAAAAAAAATTAAACCTAATGGCTGTGTCTAGACTGGCAAGTTCTTCCGCATTTGCGGAAAAACTTGCCAGTCTAGACACAGACATCTATAATACTGTTTTAGTCTCTCAGGGTATGTCTACACTCCCCCGCTAGTTCGAACTAGCGGGGATAATGTAGTCATCCGCAGTTGCAAATGAAGCCCGGGATTTGAATTTCCCGGGCTTCATTTGCAACTGCGGATAACTACATTACCCCCGCTAGTTCGAACTAGCGGGGGAGTGTAGACATACCCTGAGAGACTAAAACAGTATTATAGATGTCTGTGTCTAGACTGGCAAGTTTTTCCGCAAATGCGGAAGAACTTGCCAGTCTAGACACAGACATCTATAATACTGTTTTAGTCTCTCAGGGTATGTCTACACTACCCCGCTAGTTCGAACTAGCGGGGGTAATGTAGTTATCCGCAGTTGCAAATGAAGCCCGGGATTTGAATTTCCCGGGCTTCATTTGCATGAAGCTGGCCGGCGCCATTTTGTAATTAGGTGTACAGCTAATTCGGATTAGAAGCCTAATCCGAACTAGCTAGTCCGTGCCGCATGTAGCCGCGCGGTACGGGGTCCGAACTAGCCGGCATTTAAAAATGGCGCCGGCCGGCTTCATGCAAATGAAGCCCGGGAAATTCAAATCCCGGGCTTCATTTGCAACTGCGGATGACTACATTATCCCCGCTAGTTCGAACTAGCAGGGTAGTGTAGACATACCCTCAGAGTATAAAGTTAAAAGCAGATTTGGTTTGGCTCAATATGTAGCATTTAATCAATAAACAGGAACAAAGCAGACCATAAAATGTAGGGATAATAAATAACAACAAACACAACAATAACAATAACAATAATAAATCCAATTAATTTTATAGCACTCCATACATTTAATTCCTGAATCATTCTGTAAAATGCAGCAAACTGTGTATTTTCTCTTTGCTCCTTGACAGAAAGAACTGAAGAAGGTGACAGAATAAAAATGCTGGTGATTGAAAATGTTGATCTTGACTTCTAATCAGCAAATTTGCTAATTTTTTCCATCAGCAAAATAGGAATAATAACACTTATCTATCTTGCATAGAGTTGTGAAAATTGATATTCCATTCTTGCAGAAGTGTTTTGAGATTCATGGGAAGACATTAATATAGAATACAAAAATGTGATTTAATTTTACAGATTAATTGACAGTATGAATTTGTGAAAAATATATGCTGAAGTACAGAGAAATTATTATTTGAGGGAGGGAATAGAGCCTCTAACACTCCACGTGTTGTTAAGTTTTGAGGGTTTGAGGACCCTGTCTAGGTACAACTTATGAACTGAGACTGCTTTTATGAACTATATGTATAACTTGAATCCACAATGTGTATTCAATCAGCTGTTTGCTGATGAGGACTGGTGGTCACATATAACAGGTTCTATCTGAAAGCAGCAACAGAACAAACTCTACATACAGACTCACTAACTGGTGGGGGAATATTTTACCTGTCCACACCAAATTTCTCTGAGGTAAAGTAGCTATGGTAATGTTCAGCAATAAACATATACTTTCTATATCAAAAGAATATGAAGTGGTAAAAAACAATTTCTGTTTATTTAGAAAAGTTCTTAGAGACAGAATTGACGATAGTATTTGAATTAGGTTATTCCTCACCTGGTACGAATCAGTGAAGGTATGCAAAATATTGGGCCTAAAACTCTTTACAATGTACAATGTCTCTTTAGCATCTAATAAACTTGAGCACCTTTTGAAGGCTTACCATCATCTAATGGTCACTTCTGGCCTTAAAAATCAAGCAATCTATGAAAGCAATGCTTACAGTTAACAAATGACCATACACATACCTGCAGATGTTTCTTTGAATTTGTCACTAGCCTTCTTCTTCCGCCATTTCCAAGGTTTAAAGATTTTGCCGATGGTAGAGAGTTTGCCTTTTCTTTTGAAAGGAGGAGTTTGGGATCCTGGGGTTGGCCCATCAGAATTTGCAATTGAAGCCTTGTCCAATCCATCAACTATATAAACAAGAAATGTAAAATAGCGTCTCTGCTGAGTCCAGATGAAGATTGTTTCAGGAGATTAAAAATAACCATCGCTTTGAGTCCCTTTGTTCCTTAACTATTCAATATCTTACTTACAACTGGTCAGAACTTCATTATAAATTATTTCGGATTAAAGCATCAAAAAAATTTTTCAATAAAAATGTGTGTTTTCCCCTGCCCTGTAGCTTGAGAATCTAGTCAGACCATTTCATTGGGGGAAACAAATCTTCCACTGCAAACTGAAACATTTTCCATAGTTAAAATTTAAGCAGAAAAAATAAATCTGTTTTTCTCCTAGCTCTAATATTAACAATTCTAGCAATGGAATAGGACACTCAGAAATAGGTTAGTTTGATATCCTTGATAGTCAGTAATTCACAGTGGAGACTGTCATAGAATCATAGAACACGAGGACTGGAAGGGACCTCGAGAGGTCCTCGAGTCCAGACCCTTGCCCTCATGGCAGGACCAAATACTGTCTATACCATCCCTGATAGACATTTATCTAACCTACTCTTAAATATCTCCAGAGATGGAGATTCCACAACCTCCCTGGGCAATTTATTCCAGTGTTTGACTACACTGACAGTTAGGAACTTTTTCCTAATGTTCAACCTAAACCTCCCTTGCTGCAGTTTAAGCCCATTGCTTCTTGTTCTCTCCTCAGAGGCCAAGATGAACAAGTTTTCTCCCTCTTCCTTATGACACCCTTTTAGATACCTGAAAACTACTATCATGTCCCCCCTCAATCTTCTCTTTTCTAAACTAAACAAACCCTATTCTTTTAGCCATTCTTAAGTCATGTTCTCTAGACCTTTAGTCATTCTTGTTGCTCTTCTCTGGACCCTCTCCAATTTCTCCATATCTTCTTGAAATGCGGTGCCCAGAACTGGACACAATACTCCAACTGAGGCCTAACTAGCGCAGAGTAGAGCAGAAGAAGGACTTCTCGGGTCTTCCTCACAACACACCTGTTAATGCATCCCAGAATGATGTTTGCTTTTTTTGCAACAGCATCACACTGCTGACTCATATTCAGCTTGTGGTCCACTATAACCCCTAGATCCTTTTCTGCCGTACTCCTTTCTAGACAGTCGCTTTCCATTTCGTATATGTGAAACTGATTGTTCCTTCCTAAGTGGAGCACTTTGCATTTGTCTTTATTAAACTTCATCCTGTTTAGCTCAGATCATTTCTCCAATTTGTCCAGATCATTTTGAATTATGACCCTATCCTCGAGATTAGTCGCAACCCCTCCCAGCTTGGTATCATCTGCAAACTTAATAAGCGTACTTTCTATGCCAATATCTAAATCGTTGATGAAGATATTGAACAGAGCCGGTCCCAAAACAGACCCCTGCAGAACCCCACTTGTTATACTTTTCCAGCAGGATTGACAACCGTTAATGACTACTCTCTGAGTATGGTTATCCAGCCTGTTATGCATCCACCTTATAGTGGCCCCATCTAAGTTGTATTTGCCTAGTTTATTGATAAGAATATCATGCGAGACCATATCAAACGCCTTACTAAAGTCTAGGTATACCACATCCACCGCTTCTCCCTTATCCACAAGACTCGTTATCTCAAAGAAAGCTATCAGATTGGTTTGACATGATTTGTTCTTTACAAATCCATGCTGGCTGTTCCCTATCACCTTGCCACCTTCCAAGTGTTGACAGATGATTTCCTTAATTACTTGCTCCATTATCTTCCCTGGCACAGAAGTTAAACTAACTGGTCTGTAGTTTCCTGGGTTGCTCTTATTTCCCTTTTTATAAATGGGCACTATATTTGCCCTTTTCCAGTCTTCTGGAATCTCTCCTATCGCCCATGATTTTCCAAAGATGATAGCTAGAGGCTTAGATACCTCCTCTATCAGCTCCTTAAGTATTCTAGGGTGCATTTAATCAGCCCCTGGTGACTTGCAGGCATCTAACTTTTCTAGGTGATTTTTAACTTGTTCTTTTT